CACTGTGAGCAATGAAACCTGAATCTTTCCTTCTATTTGATCCATCTGGTCGGCTGTGGATGGGTTTGTCTACTGCTTCTGTGGAGCACTAACCTAGCCTATGCATCGTCCATATATGGTTTGATTTTATTCTTGTTCCATCATGTGATCTGTGGGTCCTGTAGTCCTGTGTTGTGATACCATGTTGCTGTGCATCTACCTATGGGTAGTACTGATAGCCGCTTATTTATGTGATGCTTTCTTTTTAAGAATACTCTCTGAGGCCTATATTTGCGCAGTTTGATTCCACTGCCAGTTAGCAATTAATAGTCGCATTTGTTGAGAATGTTTCCATAGAACAGATGGCATCTTCTTTAATCAAAAGGAACCCTCCTCAAATAATGTTTGTTTAAATCTATGTTGGACTCGAAGGAATGTGTTGTTGAAATGTTAATAATGGTTCGGTCAATGTACTTTAAACCATCTTTTGTTGGTTTAATCAGCATATGGATCTAGGAAGTTTGGTATGATAATTAGTTCATTGAGTGCTGCTTATTGTCAAAAATCAACTATGCATTGGTTAATGCTTTGTTGAGATCAAATTGGTATCCTTGACTCCAAATAGCTTGGCCTTCTGTGAAGTTGACCTTGAAGGCCTTCAATTCCTGCTTAAGGCAGGGAAACATGTAGAAACCTTTATTGTTTTCCTTAGGGTTAGATCCTAGAACGTTGATGAATGACAATGTGAAGTTCATAAAGGGCGTACCCAGTGCAGAGAGCTCCCGCTCTGTGCGGGGTCTGGGGAAGGGTATCAATGGCAAGTCTTACCCTCGCCTGTGCAATGCGAGGAGACTGCGACTCGAACCCGGGACCTTCCGGTCACAGGCGGTAAGACTCTACCGCTTGCACCAGGCCCGCCCTTCACAATGTGAAGTTCATGGTTTTGAAAAATGCCATCAGATATCTCACACGTGGAACCATGACCCATGTCAGGATCATGGCCCTCTGCAGTTTTCAGAACTGAAAATTCTGTGCTAATATTTGTTTTTTTAATATATGTTTTCAAATGGATTCATTTACCAAACACTATTCAATTTTCCATGCTTTTAATGCTGGAATGAGTCACTGCTCAAATGTTGTTCTGGCTTGTGTGGTGGATGGAGGCACAGAGAGATTACATATGAATACAATAAGTGCCATTAGCATCAGGCTTTTGGGATTAATCTGATATCATGCAACGATCAGCTGCATATCAGCAACCCAGTAGTATTTTATCAAATGCCTGTCAGTTCATTAAAATGCCATTAAGCTTTGGTTTCTTTTCTTTGGCGAGGTCATCTTAACACTCCCTTCATGTGGCCTGGATCAGGCCTAATTAATGTGCCTGCAACACTTGATTTTTTTTCAGCACCTGAGTTACTTTCGACTTGGGTCAGGCAGTCAGCATCATTTCACTGTGTTGTACACATTTCCTTGGATGACTAATACCTGAACATGATCCCCTTCTTCTGCAGTGATAACAAATGTTTGTAATGCGGCAAGCGCACCTGAAGAAAATAGGCTTGCTGGTGACAGCAACACCATTTCGGAAAATGCCCAGGAATCATTGAGTTCTTTACCAGAACAAGAGTCAAATGATGCTAGTGTTAACACAGAAAAGAAAGAACCTGGCATTTCAAAATGCAAATCGGTGGAAGAAATACCAAAAACAGTGACCGTAAAGAGGTGCAAGAACATTGATTCAAAGAAAGTCTCCTCAAATAACAATAATAATCCAAGCTTTACTGGCAGTCCAGCTCTGAAAAAGCAGCCGACAAAGGGGGGTCATCTTTTTCAACTATGTGAAAATGGAATGTCTCAAGACACAAAGCCTCCTAGCACAAGGATATGCATAAATTCAGCGTGCAAAGCTGTCTTCAACTCAGATAATGCATTTTGTAAGAGGTGTTCATGTTGTATTTGCCATGGTTTTGATGATAACAAAGATCCTAGCCTTTGGCTGGTATGCTCATCAGAGACTGGTGATCAGGATTGCTGTGGATCATCCTGCCACATTGAGTGCGCACTCAAGCACCGAAAGGCAGGATGCATAGAACTTGGACAATCTATACAGCTTGATGGTAACTACTGCTGTGCTGCATGTGGCAAGGTTATTGGAATACTTGGGTGAGTGATTTTACATCTACCTTGGGGAGTTATCTTAATTTCAGATGGAAAAAGTTTTATATATGGCTTGTTTATAAGTATGTATGGCTTGTTTGTAAGTAGTCACGCTACATGAAGCATTGCTGGTCACTGTAACTTCCCTTTGTTCTTTTACCTATCTTATCTCGACCCCTCATTGACTTGGTTGGTTTAAAATTATATATTCTCCTTCATATTGGTGAACCTTGTTGCACTCAAAATATTGGTTGAACCATTCATCAGAATGATATTTCATATCTGTAGTTACTTGCAGCATTATGTGCATATATGATCTCTGCTATGTTTAACTCTTATTCCTGTCTCTTTTTTCTTTTCTTGTTTTGGCAAACACTCTGTTATTTTTGGATCTTACTGCGTCTTTGAATATTTTGAGCAGGTTCTGGAAGAGGCAGCTGGTAGTTGCTAAAGATGCTCGTAGAGTTGATAATCTCTGTTCCCGCATATATCTGAGTCATAGACTTTTGGATGGCACAACACGTTTTAAAGAGTTGCATCAGATCGTAGAGGATGCAAAAGCAAAGTTGGAAAGTGAAGTTGGCCCCCTTGATGGTACGTCATCCAAGATGGCTCGTGGTATTGTAGGCCGGCTGCCTGTTGCTGCTGATGTGCAGAAACTTTGCTCTTTAGCAATTGAAAAAGCTGATGAGTGGCTTATTTCAAACATTCAATCTGAAGCAAAACAAAATGGTAAATTATTTCAGTCTTGTAAAGTTTACATCTTTCAGTTCCACTCTGCAATTGGCAAATTTGACAAACCTAGTGTAATTCATTTTGCCCTGCAGATACACTCCCATCTGCCTGCAGGTTTAAATTTGAAGATATTACTGCCTCATCTTTGGTGTTGGTTCTCAAGGAAGCTGTTTCCTCGCAGTATCATACTATCAAAGGCTATAAACTCTGGTATTGGAATAGCAGAGAAGCGCCTTACACAGGGGAGCCTGCTGTTTTCCCCAAAGACCAAAGAAGGATTCTTATATCCAATCTGCAGCCCTGCACAGAGTATTCCTTCCGTATTATTTCATTTACTGAGGATGGTGAACTGGGCCATTCTGAATCAAAGATCTTTACCAAGAGTGTGGAAATTATTCATAAGAACACAGAGCACGGAGCAGAAGGTTGCTCATCCTCTGCCAAGAGAGCTGGTAAGAGACAAAATGTTAGGTCATTAGGCTTCCAGGTGCGTCAGCTGGGTAATGTATTCCGAAAAACACAAACTGAGGAGAATGGGTACCCCAGTGCATTGTGTAAAGATGAGATTGAAGATTCATGTGATCAGAGTGATTCTGTGATACCAGATAAGGACCAGGTTCCACGTGGCGCCTCCCGCAAGCTTGATCTCAATGAGACCTCAGTCCCAGACCTAAATGCAGAGGTAGTCATGCCAACAGAGTGCTGCCAGAATGAGAACGGCTGTAGTTCTGGGAAGAATGCGTTCACAAAGTCGAATGGTTGTGGTGACTCTGAAACTTGTGCGGAGGGGCATGTAGGGGATGCACCAGCCATGGAATCCCGGTCTCAGAGTCACAAGCAGGCATCAGATTTGGAGCAGGAGACCTGTGTTGATGACAGCAATTTGGTGGCTCGTGCAGCTAAGCTCTTCGCACCGAAGTTAGGCCAGTTAGATGACAACTATGAGTACTGTGTGAAGATTATACGTTGGTTGGAATGTTCCGGCCTCATTGAGAAGGATTTCAGGATGAAATTTCTAACCTGGTTCAGTCTGCGATCGACAGAGCAGGAGCGGAGAGTTGTTATCACCTTCATCCGCACCTTGATTGATGAACCCAGTAGTTTGGCTGCGCAGCTCTTGGATTCCTTTGAAGAAATTGTTGCCACTAAGAGGCTAAGAACTGGTTTCTGTACTAAGTTGTGGCACTAACCAAATAGACAAAGCATGAAACTGCTATCTAATAATACTCTAGTATTCTTACATTGGCAAGATTAACTGGGATGACAGTGTAAAAGTACTTCTATTTATTTTCTGATAAATGTAGTTAAACTGATGTTGCTGAAGTTGCGTATTTGCCATGGTGATATATTCTTACATGGGCAAAAATTAACTGGGATGACAATGAGTGTAATGGTGCTTTTATTTGTTTTCTGATAATGTAGCTGTCTGATGTTGCTGTGGCATGGATATTTGCCATGATGATGTATTCTTACATGGGCAAAATTAACTGGGATGACAGTGTAATGGTACTTTTATTTGTTTTTATGATAAACAGTGTTAGTCTGATGTTGCTGTGCTTAGATATTTGACATGGTGATAAAATATATATTACTGGTGTTCTTATCAGGTTTAAAATGTGTCACTTCTTTGTTCGAAGTTCGAACTGACATGTTCTGTTATAAATCCAGACTTTATTGGTTTTATCTTTTAAACCTAGTGAAGCAGAAAAGAAATTATCATCCACGTTAGATTTCAATAATTCAGTTTCAAGAAACCAAACGAGCTGGTGAAAAGTAGGTTAGTTTCAAGAAACCAAACAAGCTGGTGAAAAGTAGGTTATCATTCTGCTGTAACTGATACTATCGTATCATTCACTTATTGCAATTAGTACCATGAGCAGAAAATATATTAACTTGTTCACAGGAAATTAGACGGGCTCATGTTACCGATGAGCCTGCACATAATGACCAATTCCATGAACAGTACCAGGTAACAAAGGGGTACCATGCATCCTAAGGATAAGCCTAGTTTACATCATACACTGGAGCAATACATTCAACCAGGTGTTGGATAAAATCCATTGGTCAGTGCTCAGTAGCTACAATCACAAGATTTACTGCCTGAAAACAACTTCCATCATCCATCATTATAGTTGTTCTGCAACCTCTTCATTCTGTATGCCCTTCTCCACTGCTTTGGTTTCAGCTTTCAGCTCAGCATCCTCCATGGCCATGACCTCCGAGATTATTTTGTAGTGCTCTCGTGTGCTTTCCTCTGGTCTGTCTGCTTCAAGACCACGCTCCAAGCGACGCAAGAAACCTTCTTCAACTTCACTCAGATGGTCGTCGACTTCTTGTTCGCTATCAAAACAGGTGTTGTAGCGTACGAGATAGTCTGCATGTCGCCCAGACTTGCTGATCTGGCTGTGCATGTCACTCAGCTCACAGCTCCTGTCCATGTCCCGCTCGCTGCCATAGCAGCATTCGGCGTCATCATGCTGACTGGATGATGCTGGAGATGAGTATGGTGTGTACTCTTCTCCGGTGGCTGCATCATCACGCCCCCGAAGCGTCCTCAAGATCAGTGTCTTGAGAAAGTTCATGACTTGGACGGCATGCATCAGGGCTGTCAATGGATCTGACATCTAACATAGAACAAAAAGGTAAATTTAGCTGTTGAAGTTATGGAGATCTACAGATTGCTCACAATTTTGTTGTATGGGAAGTACAAGAACATATGGATCGCCTCCTATCCTGCAAGAACAGTCCAAAGGAAATTACCTGTGTCATGTTGGGGGCAAACACCATGGCTATGTTCCTAGCATTCATCTTGTTGAGCTCCTCTTCTTCGACAACATCAGACATCAGCTCGACAGCCCAATTGAGGAGTGCTGCCTGAGTGGGGCGCAACATCGTCACAAGCTCAAGGAACTCCCCTTCAGAGTTGCATTGAAGCACTTGCTCAGGGGAGAGGCCATCGAGGACACCTTCTGGAAGTTCCCTGAACCATGCCTGTCCAATTCAAACGTACATAAGTTTGATTTCTCTTATTTCATGGAACTATTGTTGAGTGTTATGTATGTTCACAATCAGTTAAAAATAAGTGAGTTACATTGTAGCTGAAACATAGTTTCATGGTTGTTTCAAGCTAACAGACGTCCTACCTTAATCAGGCTGGCCAAGCAGTGAACATCAATGTCCTCAGGTACAACTCCTTTATTCAGCTGGTCCCTCACGTGCTCCTCTTGGTCGTTCTCCGGATTGATACGAAAGATACCCTCAGCCTGCAAATGAAATTTTAGTAATTCAATGTGAGCAAATCAGGTTCATGTCACATCACATCACATGACAAATATTTAAAAGGCTTAGTTTATCACAGATTCATGTATGATCACCTTCAGCCCCTCCTGGGCATACAGCCTCTCCTGCATGAGAAGCAATATCGTGGGGACTGAATTTCCCTTGCCATCATACGTGCATTGCATTGATTCAGCCGAGACACCGAAAACACTGGCGCTACAGAAAACAAAAGAGAACGAGCTTGACGAATTCATAAGTCGTGGATTGAAGGGTTCAATGGCAAATCTCGGGGTACAGGCCAATGCAAATTCAGACTTGTTACAGTGTGTGATTCAGGAGTAAGAATTACATTGGATGAGTGTCAATGTTGCTCTAATTTCACAAAAGTTCTGCTTAATACAGTGCATATGGAACAGGAATTGAATGCATCAATGAACTCAGTGATAAGTTCTCATTAAGCCAGTGAAAAATCGCAGTTGCTCCGGCACTGTGCAGATCCAAGCATATAGCTGCAGAAACTGAAGTTGCTTTAGTTATCTGAACTCTGACGGAACAGCATCCTCAGATCAAGGACCTTCTACAAATTGGGAGCACTCAAAATCATGAACTCATCCTTCAGAAAATCAAAAATTCAGTATGATTCTAGCCCCAGAACCGAAATTTTCCACGGAAGCTTCCATTTTGAATCTTATGGTGACGCAGAATAGCAGGAAAGGCGAAGAGGAGGCGGCGGCGGCGGTTGCTCACCTGGCGCTGGGCACGCGACAGGGCATCTCATGCTCGAACTCGACGGGGAGGCCGAGGAAGCCGTGGAAGCGGTCGAACGTAACGTGGGCGACGTGGCGGACGTTCGTCGGCCAGCCGATCTCCATCTCCCCGAGCACCACCGCCGCGTCCTCCTCCTCCTCCTCCCTCGCCGGCCACCCGGCTCCGGCGGCCCCGCGCTCCACCCGGCACGCCACCACGGAGCGCCGGACGGCCGCGAGCAGCAGCTCCAGCACCGCCGCCCGCCGCCGCCGCTCCTCTTCCCCGCCACCTCCGCCGGCGGCGGCGGCCCTCTTCCCCACGCCGCTGCCACCCTTGCACCCCGCGCTGGAAACCACCACCACCCCCGTCATCTCCGCTTCACGACTCCTCCTACCTACGGCCGTCTCACGCGGCAACGGAGGAAGCGGGCATGGACCTCGCACCCCCTTTCTCTCTAAACTCCGTGAGTCCCCCCTGCCCGGCTTCTCTCTCTCCTCCTCGTCGGAAACTGGCTGCCGGCACACGGATCGGAGTGCTCCCCGCTTTGTGGAGTCCTTCCTACTCTAGTCGCCTCTCTCTCTCCCTCTCTCGATGGAGTTCTTGGAGAAAACCGAAGCGAAAGCAACGGGCTTTCCCTCACTCTCTCTCTCTCATCTGCTTCTTGAAGGCAGCAGCAGAGCTCCGTCAGCGAGGAGGAGCAATTAATGAATGGGAGGAGAGGACAGGTGGACTGAAACGCGAATAGTTTTGAACGAAGAGGGGGCGCGACGCAAAAGTGGCCAGGCAGGATTCAAACTCTGACGAGCCGACCGTGGCCTTTCCGCCGCAGAGGCGCTGCAGAAAAGCGACGACAGCGACCCACCCTTTTTCAGGAGCACTGTACCTCCCCTCCGTATACTGTACAGTACAGTATATATATATATAGGGCGTGTTTAGTTCCGAAAATTTTTTTTTTGCTTTCGGCTACTGTAGCACTTTCGTTTGTTTTTGAAAAAATTGTTCAATTATGAATTATTTAGGCTTAAAAGATTCGTCTCACGATTTCAAATTACCAATTGTGTAATTGGCTTTTTTTTTTTCGCCTCATATTTAAGACTTCACGATACATATGCCGTAAGATTCGATGTGGACGGATGATCATCAAGCAAAAATTTTTTGAATTTTGGATGAAACTAAACGGGGCCGTAGAATAAAAACCAGTAAATTACCGACGGGACACAAACAAAAAAAATTCAAAATTACATATATGTAGCTTAAATTATTGTGACGTGTTATCGGCAGAATTTTTTTTATCATTACGAGCATGCTTGGTTGCAAACTAATTTTTATCAAGCTAAAATTTAAGGGAGTTTAAGAAATTTGGCTGGCAATTAGTTTGCAGCCAAAATTTTGACAATGGCCCTTATTCTACGGCATTACTTCAGCTGTATTTTTCAGCGAACGAACGAGTACTTTTCTTCTCACATAAATCAGTATAAACCAAATTTTAGCGAAATGAAATAGGCCAGTACCTTTCAAAAGTTGGCAAGACAAGATCTTTCTCTTGTTGGTAGCAAACCAAGTGCCAACTTTGGTTCTCTTACCAAAATATTAGTCACCTTAATATTGTTGTGACCACATTTTGACTTGCTCTAAAATTGGCACGGCAAAAATTGGCTTCCAACCAAGTAGGCCTTATGTCTAACATAGCGTCCCGACCATGCAGCAACATTGGGTCAGGAGAAGCAACGAAACGTTAGTCCAGTAACAAAATGGTTATGGGTCTAGATTTTGTGCTGTCGTACTAAAAATCAACCCTAGACCTGAGTAGTATACATGTATTAGGACACCCTCAATAGTATGAGCTAGTTAATTACAAGCTCGAAGACAACTTTTACAATGATATTAACTTTTAGTATATAGCTCATAACATGGATAACCACACATAACATCATCATGTAATCTTGAAATGTGAATGAGACTAGCTCTTGCTTAAGAACTAGCTTTCTCTCTCTTCTATTAAAATATAAAAAATATGTTTAGGGCAACTCATAAGTTACCATTTGAGCTGCCCTTAGAAACTAAAAGAGAGGGGGAGACTCGGACGTGTAAGCATTAGGAGCGGGAAGAGATGGGAAACTCGGACTTGTAAGACAAACAAAACTCTATTCTTCTGCTGCACAAATGTGATCTAGTCGATTCTTCATTGGCGATCTAGCTAAAATCTCTATATTCCTTCTCCCTCCGATTAGTAGCTAACATCCTAGTATTAGTGTCGTTTGGCCCTAGATTACTCTCCTCCCCACACCCATTTCACTTGTCTTCAGAGATCGAAGGGTGACTGGATCCCAACACCAAGTTCCTCCTGGATGAGCTCGACAAGCGCTTCTCCCTGCTCGACATCGATAATCTCTACCTCGCCGACCTCGAGAGGTGGTAGTTAGAGGCACTTAGCGAGGATCGTAGTGCCCAGTTCAACTAATGCATCACTGACCTCAGGGTTCTCCACCTTGAGCAGATCTGCTACAGAGATTAGCGAGTACAAGCATTGGAGTCAGCGACAACGTCGTCCGATGTCTGGCGTCTAAGAGTCGAGGGAGTCATGGATGACCTCAAATTGGAGATGGAAAATTCACCAAGCACTTCGACTGCGCGGTGCTTGACATGTTGACCAAGCACGGGATTGTTGGCACCGCCAGAGTCGGTCATCGAATGCTCACCTATCAAACTTTTGACTGATAGGCCCAATGGGCACCGCTAAGAGAAAGTATAATAAGGGGCTTAGAGTGGGCTTTATGCTAATGTGGATGAGAGAGTGAAGGAGAGAGAGAGAAGTGGGCGGTAAGTTTATAGTCGATTAATGTATGAGCTTAAAAAACTCGGTGAGAGAAGAAAGTAGAACATTACTATATGGGTGGGCTAATAGTTAGCTGTAAATGTTTATACAGCCAACAGCAGCAGACTGTATTGTTAGCTTTGCTCTAATAGTTAGGGGGTTAACTAGAATTTTTCCTTACAACAATGAGGATTGGCACTATATCGGTTTCTTCACACTCTTATGGTTGTCATTTCCTTTGTGGTTGGACATTTAAACCTAAGATCACATAGCATATTGAACTTAGTTGTTCAGGTAGATTTTCTTGTTTGGGCACAGAAAGGTGGAGGGTGCCGGGACAATGACGCATGTCAAGGCAATGGCTATGAGTGGCGGTGTGGCACCGAAATGCCCGACATGGCGTGCAGAGTTTGGTGGTTGTGTGGGAGAATGGTGGTGGAGAAGAGTGTGTCCTCTAGGAAAAGGCAGCCCATGCCGGAGAGAGATGCGATAGAGAAGCCAGTTGAGCGAAAAGGATGAGTGAGGAGAGACAATGAGTGGGTGGAATATAATGCATGATGAAGTAAGGGTATTTTAGTCTACTTTCAACTAGCTATGAAAAATATTAGGGTATCCAACATAGACATGAGCTATTTTGTGACTAATTTTTAGCTCGAATTAATAGTTAGTCCTAACTCATTTAAATAAGCCATAAAGGAATATCGATTACGTACACCACGTAACAACCTATAGAAAACCTCCACATGTCACGACCGTAGAGAACCTCCACTCACATGACTATTTGAAGCATACACTTGATGCTTATAGCATTGGGCAATAGTTATAGCAAATCTCAACGGCTCAAAGAATGTGGAGGAGAAGAGAGAAAAAGAAAGAATAGTTTACTGCTTAGGACCAGGCCATAGTGCTATGTGTGACTTTTGTTATTGCCTTGCTATGGACGACTCACGCAATGTTTTGGTTAGGATGTAAAACATACTAAAATACTTATGGACTATTTTTTAATACATTTTGGTTGCCCTAAAAACTGGAAGAAGACTTTAAATTTTGGTAGCCCATCAAGTGTGCTTTCAAAAAACTAAACCTTTGGAATACAAAGCTGTAGATGAATCCATTGGGTTCTCTGCCGGTCCTCCATCGGTCAAAACGTTTTACAAGCCCTGCCCATGAAAAAAGTAATGTTTGTAAACATCTCATGCTGCTATATCCAGGCGTTATTAGAATTATTACATGGTTTATTATGGGCATTATGAAAAGAAGGTTTGAAAATTTGGAAACGCTTTAACCCGATTGTCCGAGGTTTGGACGCTCCACCCACTCTCTGCACCACCCGCGCTGAACTCACCCGCCCTCTGCACCACCACCGCCCATGCTGCCCCCACCCGGCCCTCTGTGCTCTGCCGCCCAGCTCCACGTTGTCGACAAGCTCTACGCAGTTGGCGAGCACATCAGTGACCTCCAAGCCCCACCCACTCGTCCTCTGCACACCACCCTGTGTGCGCCCCACACCCGCCCTCGGTGCACCACTGCCCGGCTCTGTGTTGCCGACGAGCACACTGGTGACCTTCATGCGCCGACGAGCCTCCATTCGCCGAAGCAGCAAGGAGATGTTTGCGCTGAAAGAGTATGTTGCAAACATATGTTTCAAGTGTTTCAGGTGTATTAAAGGTATGTTGCAAGTGTTTTATATCAATGTTGCAAAAGTAGATCGGGATATTGCACATGTTGCAATGGCTATACACGTATGTTTTAAGTGTATGTTCTAAATGTTTTATCTGTATCAGACATATGTTGCAAGTGTTTTCATCGGGATGTTGCAAAAATAGATCTAGATGTTGAATATACATGCTTGTTGCAAGCGTATGTTTCAACTATTTTAGGTGTTTCATACGTCTGTTGCAAGTGTTTTATCTGGATGTTACATATATTTGCAATGGCTTCGAAGTGTTTTAAGGTGTTTTGCAGGTGTATCAAATGTATATTGCAAGTGTTTCAGCTATTTTTGAACGTATGTTGCTAGTCACCTAGGTGTTGCAAAAGTAGATCTAGTGTTGCATATGTTGCAATAGGACCCACCTGTCGTAGCCACTTGCTGCAGCTGCTGGGTGACATTTGGACGGCGTGGGCTCGTTGCTGGGGCACCACCGAGCGGACACAAAGAAACCGAGCGCAGGCGTGGGGGGCCCGCGGTTGGGTGCGCGAAAAAATAGATGGCGCGGGCTCCTTCTCTTGTGCATGGGCACCTGAAAGGATCAAGATGCTCAAGAGGGGGGGTGAATTGGGCTAATTCTAAATTTTCTTGCAATAATCAAATCCTACGGATAGCCCAATTAACCCCTTGTGCCTAGAAAAAGTGTTTCTATCAAATCAACACACAAAAGACTTGCAATCTATGTTCCAAACTTACTCTAACATAGCAATTCTATGAATGTAAAGACGAGTATTGAATTTCTTAAAGTAAATACTTAAAGTAAATGCTCAAAGTAAATGGAGAGAGGAACGCGGCGATGTTTTGCCGAGGTATCGGAGAGTCGCCACTCTCCACTAGTCCTCGTT